GAACTCCCACTAGCAGCTAGGTTTTTTCTAGGCTGCTCCTCCAAATTCTTCCAGCTTCTCCTTCACCCAGTTCCAAAGCCATTTTCACATTTTCAAGTATTTGTTATAAGCAATACCCCTCTTCTCTGGTATCAACTTTCTGTATTAGTCCATTTCTGTTGCATATAACAAAATACCTGGAACTGGGTAATTTATAAGAAAACAAAATTTATTGCTTACAGTTTCAGAAGTGGGGAAGTCCAAAGTCCAGGGAATACATTTGGTGAGGGTCTTCCTTGGTGTTGGCTTTACAGCAATGCAGGGGTCTCACATTGGAGAAAATGGCAGAGGAGAGGAGAGGAGAGAAGAGAGAGAGAGAGAGAGACTCTCATGTGCTCTCCTTTTAAAGCCCTCAGAACCACGCCCCTGACCAACATTATTAATCCATTCACTAGGGCATGGTCCTGCAGTCTGATCACCTCTTCAATGTTCCACCTTTCAATTACCATAATAGGCTTTCCCACCCTTAACAGCTACAGTGGGAATTAAGCTTCTAATATATGAATTTTGGAGGACACAATTCAATCAATCCATAGCAACTCTTTTATTTATGTCTTTAATGATTGTGTATTTTATCACATAAATTTACCATACTTTATAGCTTGGCTTCTTATTTAACTGGGCATTTGATTGCCTGCATTTTCCTCTGCAGTTATAAACATGGCTTCTTATAAATCTTTGCAACAAAAAAATTTTTTTTCTTTCAGATTATTTCCTGGATGTATATTCTTCCAAGGTGGGATTAATAGGTCAGTGAGTAGGAATAGTTTTATAGCACTTGTTGCTGTCAGCAACCATATATTTTTTTATTCCCTCACAATTCAATTTAATTCAACAAAAGCTTACTGAGGGCTTATTGAGCAGCAGGCATTATGATAGGTTCCGGGGTATACAGATGTGGTCCTTACCCTCAAGGCACATAGTGTTCAGTAAGACAGATAAGAAAATAAATAATTTCATAACATATAAGTATGAAGAAAGAGTTATGTATAAGACGCTGTGGGAACACAGATGAGTAGGATCAACTCTAGTGGGGAGAATGTGGAAGCAGGTTGGGAACTGGGACAAAAAAGTTTTCTTGGAAGAAATGAAACTTAAGATGAATGTTGAAGGCTGGGAGGGAGATAGCCAGGCATGAACAAAGGAATAGAAACTTTATATATACAGCCTAAGGTGTTTGGTAATTTATGAATAATCCTGTATTCCTGGGAGATCAAGTGTGTGTGTGTGCTCAGTGGAGGAGTCAGAGGGAATAATAAGGACCAGAGTAATTCAAAGCAATCAAGGCAGGAGAAAGTTTCAAGGAAATAACGGTAGGCATTGTAGGCTGAAGAAAAATCAAATACGAAGTCTGAAAGTGCCTGTTTGATTAAGTGACAAAGAGGAGGAGCCTGGAAGCAGCCCTGTCAGTGGAGCTGGTGGGAACCAGACTGGAGAGGGATGAAGAGTCAGTGGGAGGTTTGGAAGTGGGAGAGCTTATGTTGACTGAACAAAGCCTGTAACAGGGGTTTTTACTTAGTTTTTGCTGTTCTTTTTCTGAATATCTTACAATTCAAGTGTATTTCAGTGGTTTCCGAATCTCTTCCTAATGAAACTTACCTACTGTCTTGTCTTTTAGCTACAGCAACTAATCTAAAGTGATAGATTGTTTGCAAAGGTGGTTGCAATAACTCCTCCTGTACTCTGCCTTGCTGCCATGTGATTTTGCCATTCTATCCATTTAGAAGTGGAATCTGTTTCCCCATTGCGAATGTGGGCTGGCCTTATAATTTGCTTTGTCTGGTAGGATGAGAAAGAAGCAACATTGTGTGACTTCTTACCTAGGCCTTCAAAGGCCTTGAAGCTTCCACTTAAAAAACAAAACAAAAAAACCCAAAAAACTCCCAGCTTTACTGAGGTATGACTGACAGATAAAAGTTGTATATATTTGAGGTATACAAAGTGATGTTTTGATATACAGTACATTGTGAAATGATTAATGCACTCACGATAATTAACATATCCAGCAGGACTAGCAGAACTACACAGCTAGGCCCAAAGCAAATTGCTGACCCACAAATCTATGAGCAAATAAAATGATTGTTATTTTAGGGTACTAAGTTTTGAATAATTTCTTATGTGGCAATAAATAATTTTTACTTCTGCTTATTTTTAAGTGTATTTTCTTGAAGTTTATGCCTATTCATATGGCATTTCATTATGGAGGGCTAAAGCATCACTAATAAACATGAGTTGTTTTTGTACCCCACCTTCTAGATTATTCATCAAAATATTAAATCAATCCCTGTGGAATCCCAAAGTCTTTATTTAGAATTTTCTTTTGATTCCAAGCCTTTGTTTCCTGTATTTAGACAATTCTCTGTCCAAGATAAAATATCCCACACTTTCACAGTGAATTTAAAGAAAATAAGAGGAAGGATGGAAGGGAGGATGGAAGAAAGAGAGAACCTGTGATGAGCTAGGGCATTGGATTGTACTGGCCATTCACAGAAAGCAGTAATAACTTAGTCTTTGCTTGGGGACCATGTATTATCCAACTTATCTCCAAGGTCTATCATGGTATTTGTATTTGGCACATAGTATTCAATAAGGATACATGAAGAGAAAATGAAGTTGCTACTCATTTTCCAGATGAGTTGACTTAATCTCAGAGAAGTTAAATGATATATAGTTTCATTGAATGTTAGAGATAAATAGGATCTTAGAGATTTAGTCTAATGCCCTCTTTTTAAAAAAGAGAACTGGGTTAAGTGAAGTCAATTGTCTGGGATCACACGGCCATTAAGCAATAGGTGACGAAGTGGAAACAAAGCTCCATGTTGTGTTTCAGTTTAGAAGTTCTTAGATGTACTTATAATTGATTCAAGCTTGTCACAACCTTCTGCAGAGGAGAGGTGGTAAATTCTAACTGCTTTCACAAAATTAAAAGTTGCTCTTTTAAAACATTGCTTTTGAAAAAATATCAGAGGGGTAGGAAAAACATTTTTTAAATAAAAAATGTCCTTTTGAGTTTGCTTACATCTGAAGTGATTAACAAATGTAGATTATGAACTACTATTAGCTTATACTCAAGTCACACTTTATGGCTTTACACAATTATGAAATTGGGTAAGCACAGGCCCTGTATTAAAAACCATTCGATAATAAGAGTCTTTTATATTTATACTGATTAGAAGAAACACATAGCAGAGAAAATCTGCTGATTATAGATAGCAGAGCACTTCTTGTGACAATAGCCTTAGTCTGATTAATAAATTGTCCAAAGCTCTGTATTTAGCTCAGAGGTGTGCCAATTCAGTTTTCTTATCAGGACACAGAAAGGATTTAAATATAGTACTCTCATAAAGGAAATATTTTAGGTCCAAGGAGGTGTTTTCATTTCATTAGAGACAATTTCTTTCTTAAATTAAGGGGAGACTCATTTCTAATGTACTTCTTAAAACTGGCACTTCACAGCATAGCAGAGATCTTTGTTTATTCATTCAATAAAATGTATCAACTATACATTATGTGCAAGCCACTGGGCTATGGGCATGGGGAAAATTAAGATGAATAAGATAGAAATCCTCCCCTTGAGGGCAACGTGGTAAAGGATACTCAAGTTTATTATCTACCATGTACCAGGTATAATAGGGGCTTTATATCTACAACCTTATAAGAATGCTTATACTTTAGGAGGGAAGACAAGACATATGAAGAAATAGCGTGCTTGGCATATCTCAGGCCCTCACTATTTGTTTAACGAATGAATGTAGGAAACAAAAGAGATCTCAAAAAAATCGCCCTTATTTCAGAGACTCAGAGAGATTGAGAGACTTCCTGAGGTAGTGACTTTCGATAAAAGAAATCACATTTCATGTTGGGTTGATCAGTTCCGAGGTGTGTCGGGCAGGTTCCCTAACGTGAATTTTTATTTCTAATCACCAAAGTGGGGAAAATACCTTCCACTTCATAGTGTTGTCACGGGAGTTGGTCATCATGTATGTGGAGTTTTCCACAATAAAAAGTAGCAACTACTTTTTATTTACTAGTAGTAAAATAAAAGTATTTACTACTAAATTCCACAATAAAAAGTAGCAACTATTATTACTACTAAATTTTACTATTATTACACACTAGTCATTGACCTACTATTCTTTCTACAACTGGGCGCCAGTTATGTAAAAACACTTCTTGCAAACGCACTTAAAAACCCGTCGAGACTGCTAGATCACTGTTTTTACCTGGTCGGGAGACATGAACAATCCCAGTTGGCAATGGTTTGATAGAGCGAGTGTGATAAGGCGATCAAGGTTCACAAGCACGCTGACCTCCAATGCCCTTTCATCCGCCTCTCAAGACCCTCTACTGACCTCACAAAGCCTCCCACCGGGTCTCCTCTCGGCCCGGAAAGCAGCTCGGACTTCACATCGAACCACGTTGACTAAGTAAGTTCCTACCGCATGCAGCGCACCATAGCAGACGTTAGAAGCGGGCTGCGGCACAAACCCTTTTTGCTCTTTTACTTCGCCGCAGTGTGAGAACTAAGCCCTCTCACCTGAGGTACGGCTGAACTGGCTCGCACGCACTCATCCTATTCCCAGGACTAAAGGGGCGCCCCCAGATCTCCCCCAAGGTGCGAATACCACAAAGTCGCGGGCCCTCCCCAAGAACGAGGAGGAAGGCCCGCTGGGAAATTGACCTTTCACTCGCCTTCAGCCTCACCTCAGCTCACCTATTTTGACGCTAGCAAGTGAAACGCCGAGGAGAGCTGGAAGGCGGGACTTAGTGTTGCACGGTCCACGCTGATTGGTCTGCGACAGCGTCAGGGGCGGGCCGCGCGCGCGGGTTCGTGACCCTCCCTCGGAGGGCGGGGAGAAGCGGGGGCTGAGCTTGCGCCCTGGAAGACAGCGGAAGTGGCCGAGGAGGCTACGCGTGCGTGGTGGGCGGAGCGCGGCTCCTATACCTTCTTTGCCAGCCCAGTCCTTTCCAGGCTTACCGAGCCGGTGTGGTGCTCGTGTGTCACTGCCTCGTCTGGGAGAGTCGCTGCCGAGTGGGCGCTCGGTTTTTGGGTCGTCATGGCTGGTTACGAATACGTGAGCCCGGAGCAGCTGGCTGGCTTTGATAAGTACAAGGTAGCGCGGGCCGGCGGACGCCCCTCTCCCTCCTCGTCCCGGCCTCGCCCAAGCGGCTGAGCGGCCGGCGCGGTCTGTGTCACCTTGTGCCGCGTGGCTCCGCGCGGGCTGGCGGGCGTTTCCCCGGGGGTCCTGCCAGTCCTGGGGTTTCAGGGTCGGGGAGCGTGGGAGCACCCTAGGCCAGCCATCCCTACTCGTCATTCTCCCGAGAGATTTCCTTTTCCTTAGGAGAGCGCTCACCGATAATGGAGCGAGAGAATTCTCTTCTCTTTTTTGACTTATCATTTATTATAAATTTTTAGCCCTCTGAAACTATGCACTTCCCTTCTGTGGTGAGTTAATTGTCTTCATTTTAATGAAGATCCTACCCGCCTTTCTTGCGTACAACTTCGGAGATGGAGATGGTCATTTGGCAGATGCTGAAGCCATAGTGCTGATGCACTCCACTTCTCCCAGTGAAGAGGCTTCCTCAGCAGTAGCTTGTGGCGCTGGGGTGCCAGATGAAATACATATACACAGGAGGGAACGCTGTGGCTTTCGAGTAAGAATTTCCACCATGCAAAATGATTATAAGGATTTGAGAAGCTTTTGGCACCTAATGGGCCCCCAGTAAACGCTGGTTAACTTTCCTCCAACTCTGGTACTCTTCCACAGTTCACTTGCCTGTGAATGATTCTCCTAAGCCACCAGTCACCCAGTGGGCTTTAACCTTTCACCCTTGTTACCTGTTCATGTTCACATCTTACCTTAAATGTTACTTCCTCAGAGAAGCCTTTCCTAAGTACCCCTTCCCCCTTCAGCGTGCTCTCCTGGCACCCTCTCTTCGTTTATGGAATTACTTTAAGTGTGTCTCCTCATTAGAATATAATCCCCACGTTGTTAGACTTGTGTTATCGATCACCATCGCCTGAGCACAGTACCACTGTGCTTATTAGGCACCCAGTAAACATTTGTGAAGTGAATGAATAATTGAAAAAATCATAATGGATTTTGTTTAAGTGGAATTGAAATAACTGTGAGGGACCTTAGAAGGTCATATAGTATGTTCCTCTGCTTTCAAGCAATATTTTGCTATATATACCATTTCTGAACTGAAATGATGACTTGACTTAGAATTTTAAGTGGAAAGAGGTTCTAGAGCCTTGTTAACTCGGGTTAGGCTTTACAACTTTTGATTTCAGAAGGCTATTGACTGAGTAACTCCTATTTTGCCTTAAGCTCTACCCGCTTTTCGTTTTTTGTTATCTCTTCTGTACTGTAAATATTTACCTATAAAACATTTTCTTCCTGTCAGGGGTTTGACCTGTGTCAGTAGAATAGCTGTTTCATTTGTAGCAGTGTCTGTAATAGGGAATTTCTTTTGCCTTATAAGCAGTCTTCCCTAAATTTATATTTTCAAACTAGGTAGGTGTCCTAATTTACCAGAAATCTCAATGTGATTTTCTGTTTCTTTTTCTGCTTCCCTAATCTGACTTAGTTCCTGTGCCTGATAGCAGACTTCCTATCATCCTGGAAAACAAAGGTTGATTTAGCAAGTGTCCAGTGTTCACTAAAATGCTGTTTGTTGATATTATTTTAGTTATAATGAGAAAAAAAAGCACAAATTTATAACCTAAACATTCTTCCAGTAGAAGATTCTTTACTTAATACTGCATTTATATTAAAAATATGAATCCAAGAGTGTCCAGAGGAATGATCTGTGTGGTCAGTTTTGCTGGAATGTGAATTGCACACAGAGGTCTTTTCTTCCTGTCATTGCATTCCCTTTCTGTAGTTGTTAAGTGCTTTATACATACTTATTGAATTAAACAGCTTTTTTCCTCCCATAAATGGGTAAGAACTCAAAACACTCAAAAGAGATTTTTATTCCCTGGTGTCACACTTTATAATACAGCAAAAAGATGTAGAGAAAAATTGGTACTATAAAAGCAGCTGGTGGAAAAATTACTTTTCAACTAGTTTAATTTCTTTCTTCCCTTGAGGTACATCTGAGAGCTACTGTTGGAAACCTGGCAGTTGTACAGAATAGCTTCTGAAAGGGGTGCACACACAGTGGTTAATTAGGTTTCTGTAGTAAGAAACTATAAGAATTGATTTTCAGTACAGAAGAAAGCATGGGATAGATTCTACGTTATAGGCTCTCTTAACACTTGTATTCTTAGTTGTGTTACTTACAATATTATTAAACAGTTGAATAATTAGTTGAATGTCTGCTTTCTCTGTCAGGATATGAGCTTTGGGAGGGCAGGTACTGTAGCTATCTTGTTCAGCATAATCAAGGTCTAGTACAGTGGCATGAACAGAGTAGGTACTCAATAAATATGGAAGGAATGAAAGTATAAAAGAATATGAACCATTTTGGAGATATGATAAAAGGAGCTGTACATCTGGATATTGGAAGGATGTTTTTGTATTTTGAATATGAAGAGGTCAGGGGTTTAACTGTCATTATTCTCTGTTGCTTATTAACATAACTTTAGGCAATTATGTTGAGGAATTTCACCCTCATGAAGCTTATTCCTACGCTCTACCTATCATTTCTTTTGGACAGGTCTTTGTAGTTGAAGGATTTTCCCAGTGCTATTATGATTTGCCTAATCTCATCTAGGGAGAGCATAATTGACAGTGTAGCAGCTAGTCTCAAATTGTATCATTTTGCTTCAGAGAGAAAGTGTTCTGTGAAATAACGTTGTTAGATTTCAAGAATATAATTTCATGATGAATTGGTTTCTGCTGTTATGGTAGTCAACTAACTTGGCTGTTGACAACAACAACCTGATTATAGGAATCATGATAGTTGTGAATTTATTAGTATTACAATAAAGAGGTTGTAAAGAAGTTGTAGAGAGAGACTGTGTTTGCATCTTGATGGCAGTGCTGAAGAACCAGAATCTGGCCTTCAACCTTACTGGTTCATACAGTTTGATTTTGTTTATTCAGCAAGCATTTATTGAGGGTCCAAACTGTCAGACACAACATTGGGGCTGCAAAGTTAAGCAAAGCTGAAGTTCCTGCCTTCAGATAACCCAGTTTGGTGGCATATGGACATATAAATAAACAGTTATAAATAGTTAATAACTGCAGTTAGGTAAGTACTGGGTGCTTTGGGAGAGGAGAGAGTTAAGCAAAGCTGAAGTTCCTGCCTTCAGATAACCCAGTTTGGTGGCATATGGACATATAAACAAACAGTTATAAATAGTTAATAACTGCAGTTAGGTAAGTACTGGGTGCTTTGGGAGAGGAGAGAGGAGGAAACAGCTTCCAGGGAAGTGGGGGTTAGAGCTGAGGAAGGCTTCAGGGGGATGGAAGTGAAGGCAGGAACTCAGTCTAGAAACATGAAGGCTGTGAATGCCCAGTATTACCAGGTGAAGAGGGGAGAAAAGGTGTTACAGAACAAGAGAACAATGGAGTGCAAAGAGATGTAGGCCTGAGAGCATTTTCTGAGAACCACAAGAAGTTAGATAAGGTGTTTGGGCATAATGGTACAGTGGCAGGAGATGAGACTGGAGAGGGAGGTGGAGTCCTGTTAGAGAGGGATGATTTAATGTAAAGGACTTTTTATTTACCCTGTAGATCAGTGTTTCTGTGGTCCAAGGACTATTGGCATCAGAATCACTTGGGGAAAGTGTTTAGCAAATTCTTAGGCCCTCTTTGGAGGTTCAGATCGGATGTTAAATATCTCAGGTGGTTCTTAAGCACATTGTAGTACTATAGGTTTTGGAGAGCCACTGAAGAATTTTAAACAGAATCAGATTTGAATTTTAAGAAGCTTACCCTGGCACCTTGTAAACTGGATCTGGAGTCCATGTTCTTCACGCTATGCTGACTCTCAAAGCTAAGTGAATGAAATATAAACTCTGACTTAAGTACTGGCTGTTTTTGTACAAGATATATCAATAAACTTTAGAATAAAGACCTTCAATGACGTGATTAATTGTTATATGTCTGATGTTCACAGATGGGGAAAATGTACAGTGAAAAAGAGAACCGATTTTGTTTACTCTTTTTAAAATTACCCAGTTTTAAAATTATTATTAGGAGCAAGTGGGCTTGTATTTACTAGTCTTGCATTTAATTGAGTATTAAGAACATTTCACTTACGATTAGTTCTAATTAAGATAAAAGGCTTTTGATTAAATAATTAGCTTTGGGACTAATACTAAGTTAAAAAGAACCCACATACTAGCTGTGTGATCTTTAGCAGGTAACTTAATCTCTCTAAACCAGGTTTCCTTACCTGTGAAATGAGGTAGTGCCTACCTCATAGGATAATTATAAAAATTGAATGTGTTAGTATTTGTAAAGTTCCTGGCACATAATGCTATGTTACTGTTAGGTAAATAAAAAGTAAACTTGACATTTGAGTTTCTCTGCTTGTGAACATTAGCTAGCATATAACATATACACATGTACACACACCTCAGGAGGTTATACCAGAAGACATTATATTTTAGGAAAGGAAGTTAAGGGTGGCAACTTAATGGACAGATGGAAAGAGTAATGAGATGTCTCTGTTCTAGCTTGGGTCCCACAGATAGTCTTTGACTTCAGATTTCTTTCTCTTTTTAATCATATGTAATAATACAATAGGGAGAATAAATTATTTTTCTCAAATATCACTCTCCTGTTTGTGAATCTGCAGTGGCTTCCATGTGTTTACCATGTGTTTGATGTCCTGATTCCTCAACGAGGATTTTAAGTTTCTTCACTACATGACCTCTGCTTTTGTCTTATCGTCTCATCTCTTGTTAGAGCTTACTTAAGTCTAGCAAGCAAACCTGTTTGTTATCATAACTTGCTTGTATTTGTTTCATTGCTCTAAGTCTTCCCCAGTCTTCACTCACCACCCTCTTCCCTCTGACTTGTTAGCAGATGTAAGTGACAGTATTCTCTGAAAAGAGACCTCATTATTCACTGAGTCATGTTTTCTGTGGGTGTAGTTCTTAAAGTCTTGTATCGATAAAAAGTACTTTAAAAAACTTTTTATTTCTGTCCTAGGG